TTTTATCAGGCAGCTGCAAGTGTTCATACGTCTCTCCCCCCCCCCCCCCATTATTTTTTAATTCCTAGAAGAGAGGAAGATCCCACCGGCCTCAGGGCCCACTCCTTCCTGGACCTTGACTTCCTCTTTTCAGGCGTGCCTTCAAGAGGTGCTCTGTCTATGGTTTGAGAACCCCTGCAGTGGAGTGTAGACATAGGGGCAACTCCAAGCCTCTCTGAACAACAGCACTTTACTTGTTATGTATATGATTTTAAGATGTCTATTAATGTATTTTAACTTTTTAAATGTAAGCCGCCCTGAGCCTGCCGGGCAGGGAGGGTGGGATATAAATTGAATTAGTTAAATAAATGAATTTTAAAAATGTGTTCCGTCCTTACACTTGGACTCCTTTCACTGGCTAGAGATCCCTGAAGTTTAAACATGTAGGGGGGGAAGGGGTTGTGTAGCAAACCTTTCATAATCATGCCTTGGAAAGTGATGTATCTTCTGGCTCCCGATCTAAAGGCCTGTTTTAAAACATGCAGAATGTAACATGGCAAAGCGAGGGGATCGGCCCCCTGTTTCTCCTCCTCCCGCTTATGAGTTATAGCAAGGGGAGGATTTTAGCCTCCGTAATAGAACATTAGAATTCTAGCCCCAAGAAGCTGTGCCAATCCGAAAACACTCCCTCGTTTTTACCCACCTTTCTTCAGATGAACGACACTCCTATCCAGGAACGATTCCCCGCCCTCTCTCTTTGTAGAAATCCATCCCGTGATTAGCGGGGCCTTTGCACATACATGTAAGGAAGCCAGTCTATAAAAAGCCAAGATGAGTCGGTGGAGTCCTTTCGAGCCATCTGATCATTAATTATGCTCTGTTTGGAGAAATTAAGTGCAGGCCCAGACAGAACTCTGATCCGCAGACCCCCTTCTCGCAGGCCAGATAGGATTGTTAGCTTAAGTTTTCCCTAAAGAACGTAACAGTTGGAATGTTTGGTCTGCCGCATTTCAGTCCCTAATGGGGTTGTCACCGTGATTTATGACATAGGCAAACAGCAAAGGAGATTAATGATGGGAGGGGCTTCTTGGGAAGGTTCTCGGGGGAAACACCCCCTCCCAATTTAATCCGGTGCCATTTTCATATTTCATTTATGGATTCAGACTTGAGCGTGAAGCCCTTATCCTAAGCTTTTACACATATATTACATTGCAGGAGAACAAATTTAGAGTCCAGTGGCACCTTTAAGACCAACAAAGGTTTATTCAAGCTCACACCTCGAATAAACCTTTGTTGGTCTTAAAGGTGCCACTGGACGCTAAATTTGTTCTGCTGCTTCAGACCAACACGGCTGACCACCTGGAATTACATTGCAGGGTCAAAGCACAGTTAAATCAAGAGCTGTGTTCCGTGCTGTGCAGTTGTAGGATGGCTCGTTTCCAGGTGAGGACTGGAGTTCTCCTGGAATTGCAGCTGATGTCCCCTGGAGGAAAATGGCCGCTTCAGAGGACAGACACTCTATGGCATTACATCACTGCTACACTCCCTCCCCAGACTCCACCCCCAAATCTCCAGGGATTTTTACCAAGCTGGAGTTGGCAAGCCTATGTGCAGAGGAATCTGCAAATTTAATGAGGAGCAGGAGACAATGTTGAAATACTGGGTGGAGCCTTTGTCCAACAGAAGGAACCTTGTTCCAACTTGGGTGGCTCTAATATTAGAGGAAGAGGCGCTTACGTTGGAGAAGGGCTTTAAACTTTGCTTAGTGGATGGGTAGGAAACAGGCCATTAAAGCCAGTAAAGCAGATCTATGATGAAAGATGCAGCGTCCCCTCCCCTGCAGAACTGAGGAGCTAGTGATATTTTATAGGAGCCTGCTTTCTTTAGGTGCCGGCGTGGTTGATAGGATATTTGGCATCTGGTAGTAATCTCAGCACCCTGACCTGGATAGCCCAGGCTAGTCTGATTTTGTCAGATCTTGGAACCTAAGCAGGGTTGTCCCTGGCTACTATTTGGATGGGAGACCTCCAAGGAATACCAGGGTCATTTTATTCATTCAGTCATAGGGTTGCCAGGTCTGTGTTGGAAAATAACTGGAGACTTTGGGGGTGGATCCGGGAGAGGGCGGGGTTTGGGGAGGGGAGGGGCCTCAGCATGGCACAGTCCCATAGAATCCACCCTTCAAAGCAGCCATTTTCTCCAGGGGAACTGATCTCTGTCAGCTGGGGACCAGTTGTAAAAGCGGGCGATCCCCAGGCCCCACCTGGTGGTTGGCAACCCTATTCATTCAATTTATGGATCGCCTATTCCCCACAATGTGGGGCTCTAGGCAATGTACAGCCAATAAAAAGTTAAAAACAAAACCAAGAAAAAACAACTACATTGAGTCAGGCCTTTCTTTGTTAACCCACTCTGGATTGCGCTGTAAACTCATAGGCAGGTGAGGAGAGGGCCGAAACAAAAATGGAGGAAAAAGAAGATAGGAAGAGAAGGGTATCAGCTGTGATGGAGCCATCACTGTCCTCGGCCAGAGGCCTGGCGGCACATCTCAGCCTTACAGTCTCTACCAAATTGCATTAAGTCCCACAGTGCCCTGGTGGTATTTGACAGAGAGTTCCACCGGGTTGGAGCCAGGGCCGAAAAGGCCCTGGCTCTGGTTGAGGGCAGCCGGATATCTTTCAGGCTAGGGACCACCAGTAGATTGTTCTCAGCATGTGTGACACTCTTCTGGGGACATACCGGAGGAGATCGTCCCGGAGATATACAGGTCCCAGACCGCTCAAGGCCTTAAAGGTCAAAACCAACACTTTGAACCTGACTCGGTATTCCACTGGGAGCCAGTGCAGCACAGGTTGTATATGTGCTGTCCTTGGCGTTCCCGTCAGGCGCTGCTGCCGCATGACATGGAGGCAAGCAGTGGCAAAGGGCCTCTTGCCTTGAAAACCCTACAGGGTCGCCCTAAGTCAGCGGTGACTTGGCACTTTCCACCACCACCAGTAATCTCGGCCTTGTGGAGGACGTTGGACTTCTTGTGGTTTTGGATCCCTTCAGCCAAGTTGAAAACCATGTTTATATTAGGGCTAATTGCTCTACGCTTCAGTGCTGAAACTCAAGGCTACAGTCTGTGGAAGAGATGTCTCAGAACTTTTCTTTTGAAAGGAGGATGGAGGGGGAGAACTGTGGAGAGAGCAGTGCTTCGCTGTGCTTGTAAATTATATCCTGCCATTCCATTAATACATTTTAGACAAATATATCTTCTCAAGCCCAATGGATTGTGTCAGTGACTAGACTAATCTAAGAGTGTCTCCCCTTCTGGCTGGTCACACCAAGAACATAATGCGTTTGTGCGCACCACCAAAAGATATGGAGAAGGCCAGATGTTCACCGCGAGGTGGGGGGAGAACTTAGAATTTTTTTTGGCAGAGGTGCCAGGCCTGGCCCGGCCTTCCTTGGGACGTTGCACCTAATCAGCACACTTCTAACATGCAGGAACTGTGTTCCTTCTAGGTTGTCTTGGACTGTTGATATTCTACAGATGCTCACCAGGCTTAGCCAGTGCCTCTGAGCCACAAAGGCACATGGATCTGTTTCCCCTTTGGAAAACAAACTCTCATTTCCCTCACCACACCTCTGGCTAAATTAGCAACATGGGGGGGAAAAGCCAGAGTGTAGGAACAGGTCAGTTAATTGAGAGCCAGTGTAACTGATGCCAGGAATCCTTGTGGAGAGTTAGGAATGAGATTTGTTTTGTTTTATTTATAAAATGCAGTGCTTGCCTTTTTGCCTGATGTTTGGTGAATGAAACTATGAAGTGAAAGAATATAAATATGATAACAAGGGTTGCCAACTTTGGGTTTGAAAACGCCTAGAGATTTGAAGGTGGAGCAGGGTTTAGAGAGGGAAGGGACTTTGGTAGGTATAATGCTATGCAGTCCACCTTCCAAACCAGCCATTTACTCCAAGAGAAGTGGAATAAATGGGTTTTTAAAATAAATAAATAAGCAATTTGTGTAGTCTGGAGATATCCAGTTCCCACCTGGAGACTGGCAACCCCACAACCAGCAGGAGGGTTGGGGTGGGGACATAGAAGGGAAACATCTGCACTGCGAAATTACTTCCAAACCCCAGAAGTGCTACAGAGTAGTTCTAGGAATCAGTGGAAACTCTGTGGTAAAACCATAGAGTTTCCTAATATTCCTAGAGCTACCCTGCAGCACTTCCTGGTTTTTCCCAGAAGTGAAATTGCAGTGCAGACAACAATGCCATTTTGGTTTTTTTCCCCTCCAGCCATTGCTGAGAGTGGCAGTAAGCAACTAGGGCTGCTGATGGGAGGTCTCCCACCATAGCGGTAGGCCTGGCAACCCTAACAATAATGAACATAAAAATTAAACACAGTAACTGGCAAACGTACAGTAGCAATTAGAAAAAAACTTTTGATTAGTTCTTGCCAGCTTGTGTGGGTGGCTGAGCCATTGGCCTGATCCAACATTGGCTTCTCTTATGTTCTTATGAGTCCAAAATTTATGGTGCTACCACTGAGAGAGCCCTCTGCTGAGCCTCACAGTTTTTTTTACCTCACACAGTGAAGAAATCCAAAGCACAGCCCCTTCTTTAAACAAGAGGTTCCTAATGCAAGGGCCTTAAGTATCTACAGATATAATGGGATCATGCTGCCATGCTGGGATGCCAGCCTCCAGGTGGGACCTGGGGATCACCTGTAATTACAGCTCATCTCCAAACTATAGAGATCACTTCCCCTTGAGAAAATACTAGATGCTTTGGAAGGTGGACTCTATGGCATTGTACCCCCCTGAGGTCCCTGTCCTCCCCAGGCTCCATCCCCAAATCTCCAGGAGTTTCCCAACCTGGATCTGGCAACCCCACCTCCCCCATCCCCTGCTGCTGGCCAGGGGAGACCCTAATGACATGTAGAACAATATTGTGGTGATGCTCGACAAAATGTTTCCTCAGCGGAACGCAGCCATTCCAGTACTGAGTTGCCATTTTGTTTTCTCTCCTAGCGGACTGTTCATCACCATTCATGACAAAGGGCATATCGCGGCTATGCTGAACTCGTGGCCTGAAGAAAACATAAAGGTAAACCGCTATTTGGATTCATGGCTAACGGGACCGAAAGTAACCCGCAGGAAAGCAGCTCCACCGAACCCTCCAGGGGGCATATTCCCCCCACAAGGAACGGGAGCAGAGGTCATTTCGGGGGGGATCGCAGTTCCCCCGGGTGAGGTACGGGGGGCGGGGCACATGACGAAGCCCCGCCCCCTGCTTCCGGCCGCCCGGCTTCCGGCCCTCATTCAGCCAGGAGGAGGCAGGAGAAGAGGGAGGGTAAGTTGCTTCCTCCCTGCCTCTCCCCACCCCTGCCTGCCTGGGGCCAGGGAGGGCCTTCCAGGGCTTCCTTGCACTCCTGCTGGCCTTGCAGGTCCACCGCTGGGTCCCTCATGGGGCTCGGCAGTGGAGCTGCAAGGCCGGCGGCGGCGGCCGGGACCGTTGGGGGCGGGGTGTGTGGCCTTATGACACACTTCCGGTGATGTCAGGGGGTGTGGTTTTATGACACACTTCCGGTGATGTCAGGGGTGCGGCATATGCTAATGAGTTATGCTAATGAGTTCCCCTAGCTCTTTTTCCACGAAACGACCCCTGAACGGGAGCATGTTTTGAGCTGTGGCTCACTAGCACTTTGCCCCATGTGAGACTCCCCTGTCCCCAGGGTGGACTCCTCGCCCTCCGTCGCTTCCCCAGACATAAAAGAAGTGAGGAGGAGGCCCTCACACAGGCCTCAGTATTTATTTATTCATTTTCTATTTATTTTGAGATTTTTATTCCGCCCACCGCCTCACCTGAAGGCCTGGCGGAACAGCTTCGTTCTGCAAGCCCCACGGAGCGGTAGACGGTCCCGCTGTGCCCTGAACTCCGGCAGGAGCTGATTCTACCAGGCCAGAGCCAGGGCAGAAAAAGCCCTGGCCCTGGTCAAGGCTAAGCGGACGTCCTTTGGGACTGGGAAGGAGAGGGGGTTCTTCTTTCCCCGGACTGGCTCACTCCGGCCTTCTCTCTCTCCTTCTAGGAGCTCAGTCCCCCCCCCTGGCCGGGTGTGGTGTCTTCCCTTATATGGGAATCCCTGGCCCCGCCCCCACCTGGCCTGTATCCAATCCTCTTGCACCTGCTCCACCTGAGAGGCCATAAAAGGAAAGGGAGTTTTTTCCCTGTCTCTTTCCCCTGCTTCCTGTCTCCCTGCCCTGTTCCTTCCCTTGGCTGCTCAAGGCTGCCTCTAAGTTTCTCCTGTCCTGGCCTTCTCCAAGTCCAGGCTTGGCCTTGCCTTCTGACCATGCTCCTCTCCACTGCTGCCTGGCTTCCGGCCTTGTTCCCCGCTGTGTTGGAGCGATCTGCCTGGGTCCTAGCCACCAGCTTCCCCCGGCCTTCCTCGCTCAGGTGAGTGAGGACCCTGGCTGTCCTAGCTCAGGGAGCCAGGGCAGAGCTGAGCCAGGGCTGGGCGTCAGCTCCCAACACCCCAGAACTTCGTTTTAGTGCCAAAAGCTCGGCATCAGAATATCACATCACTGTATCCAATGCGTGGCTGGCCCGTATGTGGACACCAAAAGCCACAACACTGAGCCGCTGTGGATTGTATGTAGTCAGCAGATCCCCTGGTATGTACAAAAATATGACTCGACGAATTAACAGTTGGGAGGGAGGGGCACGAAAAATGGTCTGCTGAGAACTAAATATGCCCTAGGAGGCTTGGAATGTTGAGAACGTCTGTGAGTCAGCTAAAGGGGAAAAATGAGGAAGAGGAGAAATTAGGCTTTCTTGGTAGTACAGAAAATCCTTGATGGGGAAATTTTGAGGAGTATGTGACATTATATTAGATAATAGCCAGGTCTGTCGTACTTCAGTGTGACCAAGGAGGTGAGTTCAGAATAGTTCTAAGCAGCTAAAAGCAGACTTGGTTTTCGAGGGCTGAATGTAAGGCCTAGCTGTACTGAAGTGTATCTCTCTGGGGATGATCCCTGTAATATTTACCACTCTCTCTTTCTTTCTGCCTATCCTACTTATTATATGAATTGGTATATGAATTTTGAAATCTAATAGGTTGAATAAAGATATTTAAAAAGAGACCTCCATGTTCAGAGGCACTAATCCTCAGAATCCCATAGCCAAGAGACAACATCAGGGGAAGGCCTCAGCCTCTATGACCTGCTGTTGGCCCTGCAGAGGAACTGGTTGGCCACTGTTTGAGACAGAATGCTGGACTAGATGGACCACTGGTCTGATCCAGCAGGGCTCTTCTTACGTTCTTGTGAGTGGAAGGCCTCAGCCTCTGTGCCCAGTTGTTGGCCCTCCAGAAGAACTGGTTGGCCACTGTGTGAGACAGGATGCTGGACTAGAAGAACCACTGGTCTAACCCAGCAGGGCTCTTCTTATGTTCTTATGAGGCAACTCTGGAGCAATGTTCCCTCTAAGCTGAGTTAGTGTGAGCTAGCTCACAGTTTTGTAGGCTCTGGCTCACCCATTTCTGTCTCAGCTCAGGAAGGAGGGCTCCAAGCAAACTAATTTATGCAGCAGCCAAATCACTTGCTCACAGCTTTAGTGCCAGTAGCACACAAAGTAGAATTTTTGCTCACAAGACTCCACAGCTTAGAGGGAACATTGCTCTGGAGCATGTGCAAATGTCCATTTCCCACATCACTGAACTAGTTCCCACACAACAGATTACAGAAGTGTGCCATCCCAAAATGAATTGCTCTCCAGCCCTTTCGTATGAAAAATCTAAACATGAACATAGCCTAACTCAAGCAGAACACAGTATCTTCCTCTGCGTGGCTTCTGTGTCTGCACAGAAGACCACAAGAGGAACAACAGTTACTGGTAAGTGCAACCTTGTTTTATTCCAAGGCACTGAAATGCTGGACAACACATCCAATTACCATGTCAGATTACACAGGGAAGCCATTGAAATTCATAAACATAAACACAATTTCAACAGGAAGGAAGAGTGTAAAAATAAATAGGGCATGGTTTTCAGTCCTGAAAAACACAAAATGCTCTACATCTCGCAACAGCACTACAGATAAGATTAAAGTTTCAAAAGCCAATCCATATGCAAAAGAACCTCCTCAGGAAAGCTCCTCCATTAGCGTGTCACAGCCTTGGAAACTCCTACAAGATAATGACTCAGCCCTACCCCACTTCCTGAGCAGATATAAATTACCTGCCTACCATTTTTCTTCTCACATTGACACAGAGAGTACTCCATCTTTCTGTGTTATACCTCTGAGGATGCCAGTCAAAGCTGCTGGCGAAACGTCAGGTACTGCAATGCCAAGACCCTAATGATATAACCCAGAAAATCTACAACTAATCTAAACATGCTTGCAATGTTATCTGTTTGTTGTCTGCTATAGCAGCCCGATTTTTCCTATGCAAAGTACCAGGCTGGCTGTCATTCTACCCCAAATTCAGAGGCACTAAGCCTCTGAATCCCAGAGCCAGAAGGCAACATTAGGGGAAGGCCTCAGCCTCTATGCCTTGAGAGAGCAAGTTTGGTGTAGTGATTAGGAGTGCGGACTCTAATCTGGGAGAACCAGGTTTGATTCCCCACTCCTCCACTTGCAGCTGCCGGGTGACCTTGGGTCAGTCACAAGTTCTCTCAGAGCTATTCTTGAAAGAGCAATTCTCGAAAGAGTTCCTTCACCCCCACCTACCTCACAGGGGGTCTGTTGTGGGGAGGGGAAGGGAAGGAGATTGTAAGCCACGCTGAGACTCAGAGTGAAGGGTGGGGTATAAATCCAATCTCCTCCTCTTCTTCTTCCTCCTCCTCCTCCAGAGGAATTGGTTGACCACTGCGTGAGACAGGATGCTGGACTAGTGGTGTGATCCAGCAGGGCTCTTCTTATGTTCTTACTCTGTTGAACCTCTGTTTGTTTTTTAATTGCAAGATGTGGGTCCTTTCAAGGATTGCAAACTGCTCAGTTTGCACAACATCGAACGATGTTTAGGCATCGAAGCAAAATCCAGGGAAGGGTAATCATAGTCATGTGGTTAATTTGGGAGCTGGCGGTCCTAAACAACTGGCTCTGTGGCTAGAATTATCTGTGTCCAATTGAATCCGTTCCGGTTGCATCAAGGTTCCACATCAAAGTGTGAGGTCTTTTGTTCTCTGCAGTCCCAGGCCTGCAAACATCCCTGGTTCATTTGTTGTTGCCATCTGGCCCAGGACTGCCATCGGGGACCACAGCCTGGTTCAAAAGTGCACAAAGGCATACCGGGTTAGAAATCGGAAGTCCGGGGCCAGATGGCACGTTGGATCAAACTGTGGATTGAGAACTTGTCTCGGAGTGATCACTGGGGACGGTAGAGGGACGAATTAGATGTGTGTGTGTGTGTGTGTGTAAAGTGCTGTCAAGTCACAGACAACTTACAGCAACCCTGTAGTGTTTTCAAGGCAAGAGATGTTCATAGGTGGTTTGCCATTGCCTGTCTTTGCATAGCACCCCTGGACTTCTCTGTTGGTCTTCCATCCAAGCACTAACCGGGGCCAGCCCTGCTTAGCTTCCGAGCTCTGATGAGATTGGGTGTCAGACTCCGGTCGGTGATGGGGGTCGGAGGGGCGTTGGGGTGTGTCCAGGGCGTTAGTCGGCACAGCCGGAGCAGAGAGTACACTTTGTAGCAGGTACTCATTTGCATATTAAGCGACACACCCCTAATGTAGCCAATCCTCCAAGAGCTAACAGTAGCCCCTGTAAGAAGAGCTCTGTCAGCTCTTGGAGGATTGGCTACATTAGGGGGTGTGGCCTAATATGCAAAGGAGTTCCTGCTACAAAAAGAGCCCTGCGACAGCTGTGGAGTTACCTCACTCTCTAGCAGCACTGCTCTCGATAGACGGGGCACTAGTGGATTAGGGCGGTTGCCCTGCCTCTCCCTCCCCTCCGTCGTTCCCTCGAAAAGCAGCAAATTCTCCCTGGCTTCCACCTTGTTTACATTTATTAGTGTCAACTCTCCCAGCTGCGCGCTCCCTCGCCCACTCCTTAGAGGAGTTTAGCCACGGGGTTAGCCCCAGGTGGCTTGATACCCGCCCCGGGTGC